CTATTTTCGTGGGCGTTTATCTCAGACACTGTCGGGCTTATGTCTTAAGAAGGGCAGGATTGTGAACAGCACCGAAAGGTCTTCAAGACGACTATTTCAATTAAAAACCTTATATAAATGTATGGCTCTCTTTAACATGGCGTGATGCGGGACTCAGTGTTAAACTTTGAGCGCATCGCAACAATCAGCACACCCTTACTCCGCCTCTGCTTTTGGCGTGCGGGACGGCCGACAAATGGGGAGAACCCCTTTAATTTGTAGGTGCCTGCTTACAGATATCCGTAAGTTGTCGTCTCAGGCTCCGGCTACAGCCGTTCTGGACGCAGATCACACAAACGCCAAATGACACCCAGCAGCCTCAGTGTGTGTGCGTACGACTTGCTGTCCTTGCACGGGCATGAGCACTAGCCATTTCGTACGATTACTTCCGCATTAAATGTGTTAAAAATCAGACGTTATTTTAGTAAATACGAGCTTCGTGCTAATCATTTCATACTTTCATATTCAGCTGAGTGATCCTCTCAGCCCCCCCCCCCCACACACACATACTTAGGCTCTGGCCCCCCAATTTTGGGAAGAGAGTGGGGCAAATCTGTGGGGAAAGCCTTTAATGGCATATTTCTGGGGGGAGTGGCTCATTTTCATCGTTTACCCCAAACTCATTTTGTGAAACTGCGCCCGTAACACGAGATATATTCTTCGCACCATCCACGCCCATTAACGGATATCGTGCGACCAACTGAAAGAGAATTGCATCGCGTCATGGGTATTTTACTGGTGTGCGCGGTACCGTGACGAAGCGCTCCTAAAGCATGCGAACGAGTGATAATAGATACTTCGTGCACTGCGTCAGTTCCAATTTAAGCAGTGACGAGTACATTCCCTGGTGGTTCAGTTTTTTTTCTCAAAAATGCCTGCACCACTGCCAGTCAGAGTATGCGACATTCTATTTATTACGCGTCCATTTATCTTACCAGTGCTTAACGCCGCCCGGTCTGGCCGGCCGGTAAGTACGCGGTTCCCACGCCGAGTAGGCCGGCATTCAGTGCGCACGTAGCGCTGCCGCTGCCGCGATCGCACGCGAAGGCGGACGGAGCTGGGTCACCTCTGAAAGCCGGCACCTGTTCAGATGCACGTCAGCTCTCGGAATCATTGATCCGTCGGAAGATTAAAGGCGGCCGACAGTACGTGCCGGCGGCCGGCAAACACTCGCTTTATAGTCGGCCGGCCGACCGGGAGCCGGCGGCTGGAGCGGTGCGTCTCGCTGTGCCCGAGGCGCGCCGCCTGTGTAGGTTCAGGCGGGAACGCCGTGCTTTCGCGGGGGTGGTGTCAGAACAGGTACCGCTCGAGCCATTTAAACCTGTTAAGAGCCTGTTGTCTCACTTCATTCATCTGTCCCCCGCAGTTTGAAGCTAAAATAATCAGAATGTCTCTTAAAAGGAACCAAAGTTTGCAGGAAGTCTAAGCGTTTTTTTTCTCTCAAAATATGTCTCCTTTTGCAAGGCTCTAAGGCTCTCCATTTTTGGAAATCACCGCCGGGGTGGGACTTACCCGAGCGTCAAAGCTCGCTGTAGGCACGTAGGGCTAAGGTAGGGTCGTAGACGTCATGGGATGGGAGGAGTCTCTGTGGGGTCAGAAGTGCACTTCAGGGTCGGGGCTGGTAGATGTGCGGTTGGAGATGTTTTAGGGCCTGATGAGTCCTTGTAGAGTCCTGTGGCAGGGCCACTGTTTTCTGCAGTGATCTCTCCGACCTGAGCGTCGCTGTGGGGTCACAGAGGTCACCGTTACCAGCTGCCGCTCCAGTGCAGGGCCGGAGCTGGAGGCGGGCCATGGCCGGGTCGCCGCCCGTCCGCCGCCGCCCGCCGCCGCCGGCTGGACGGCTGACCAGACCAACACCCCGACCGCCGTGACCTGTCGAGACATGCCTCCCCGAGCCATCGCGCCCTAGCGGCGGCTGACTGTCGGCTGGGGTCGGCGCTGCCGCGGTACCCACAAACCACACACAGCATATGCAAAGCGCCGCGCCGCGTCGACCGGACCGGTAAGGCGGAATGTCGCGTCCGCTCAGGTAGCTGGGTCCGCTGAGTCGGCTGAGTCGTCTGCACGGGGCGGTCGTGGGGCATTCCTCCAGTTCCGGCGAGGGCCGGCTGCGACGCCGTGTCCCGCCGGACAGGGGACTAGCAGCGTCGTGGAAGCGTGACGCTCGCCCTGTCGCACAGCATGCTACAGTGGGTCAAACACGGCGCCCAGAATTTCTGACACTTTGGCGACATTCCGAACGGCGAAAAAGACGCGAAAGTGCAGTTTTCGCATTTTCCGCCGGCTGACACATTACGCGAGGTCACAAAAATAGACTTACAACCCCCGTTACCGGCTTGCTGACTTGGCTGTCACCATGTGCGTGTCATAACGCGGTTCTCTCTGCAAACGGGCTCGATAACCAGCGCTACTCCCAGCCAACTGAACCGCACCGGCCGGGCACGTATCAGGAAACCCTGCCATGAGGGGCGCATTCCTGTCGGTTTCCGTGTGTGCAGTCTCGTTCTCCGGCCCACGACGAGCGACCAGAGCACTCATGGGTCCCACGGGGCAGAAGCGACCCGCCCGCACCGCCGTCGCATTCTGGAATACTTCATTACTTGCCATTGTCTTTTGCTTGTCTCCCATCACTCGATGTCGGCGCCGCCTTTGAGGCGTCCATTCCTGACGTGCCGCCCGGTTATAAATATGATTTATGTCTCGCTACGGGGCCGTCCGGCCGCGCGCCGCCGCCGGGCCGGACGGGCGGCCGCCGCGCGCGCGCGCCGCCGCCGCTGCAAGCTGCAGCGACGGCGCCCCCCCCCCCCTCCCCCACTGACGTCACCGGTGTGTCCCCCGCCGTCCCGCCCTCGGGGCAGGGGAGGGCTGGCCCGAGGTCGGCGCGCACCAGACAGAGGGGCGTGGCGTGGTGGGATGGCGGGGGAAGAAGTCAAGAACCGGAGGGTTGCAGGGATCAGACGGAGACGCTGGTTGTCAGCATCATATCACATGTTTTTTTGCAGTTTGGTAGTGCAGGTTGCAGACCGTTACGTCACGAGGTAAGTGCAGCGGATCGCGGCTCCTGTAACGAAAGCAAGTTTTGTAAAACATCCTTTCAAATTGTAGCCAGGCATGCAACGAGTTATCTGCTCTGACTGATTGATTGTTTTCGTTTGCCGATTTGATGGCAGCGATAATTAATGACTATAGTACAGCGTAAGGTCCAATCAATCAGCAGTGGACATGAATTGGACCGCGCTCCCCCTAAGCCAGCGCCTCCGTCAGCTGCTGTAGCGTGGTTGGGTGGCGGTCAGTGACTCTGAGGACGCCGGTAGGAGTGGGTCACGCCTGCTGAATCGACCGGTATTTGGGAGCGGCAAGAGAAGGCCGCCTGGCTGGCATAGTCGTTTCTGTGCTCCCTCGAGTCCTTTTCCTAGGTTGTCGCGATCAGTTAGATGCAATCGGTGTGTGGCAGGAAATTTCTGACATGATCACATGAACTCGTAAAGGTATCGAGAAACCCTACTTCTATGCTTTTTCACCCAAATCATCGGACGCATAATTTCATTCAACGAAACGTCCCAACCAGTATCGCCTTAAGCAGCTGCGCGTCGAAGCTGTCGGTGTGAGAGCTGAACGGCCCAGTGCACGCTGTCCCCAGTGGCCACAGGCGAGGCGGTGTGAGTGTGGGACAATCGAGCGCGTCCCAGCCCCGCTGTGACGAGAGCAGGGCCTGCGCTCGGTCCGGTCTCAGCCGCGCGCTCCTGTCAGCTGACGGCTCCAGTGGCCGCTGCCGCCCGCTGACGCTGATTGACGGGCCCCCATCACGCGCCATCAGCCCGCCGACCAGCCCCAGGAGGGTCCTCACCGGCGACCGTCTGGCCAGCGGCCCGGCACGCACGCACGAGTATGCCTGCGAACGCACGGGCTCGGCATACCAGCCGGGTACGATGGGGTCCTTGCGTAAGCAGTGAAGGGTAGTCAGAAAATAACGGGTAGTGTTATTGTAAGTGAATTTGGTATTTGTGCCAGAATGCACAGTGTGAATGAAGGAGATACACCATTTACACATGATGCCTGCTACAGACGGATGCGGCGCGTGCGGGCTGAAGGCGCAGCGTTCCTCCTACCCTCGCCTCAGCGGTCAACATTATCACTCAGACCCTGTTTGCAGGCGGGAAATCAAAGCAAAAAAAGAGAGAAAAATGTCAGGCTTACACATTGGTGGCTGACTATCTTTACGCAGCCTGGCTTATCGGCCAGAGCTACCCGCTACCCGCTCCCGCTCAGCTCAGCTACCCCGCTACCCGCTCAGAGTCCCGAAGCGCTCAGTGTAGAGCTTAGGAATTTCTAACCAATCCACAGTCTTCTTCGTGGATTGAATCCTAGCATGATTTAGCCCGTGTGCGACGTATACGCCTGTGCCCGTATACGCATAAGGATTTCTGCATCAGAACGTTTTCTTTTGCCACTGTATATATATATATATATATATATATATATATATATATATATATATATATATATAATTAGGGTTATAAACTGCTCGAACCACTTGCTCTTCTATTTCCTTGGCTGGTGGAGCTCATCAACCACTCAACATTAAATTTGCACGGAAAGTTTGGCCTTTCTTGTAAGTTCACATGGTGTCGCTTAAAGAAAAAAAAACATTTAAGTTATAATTGCTCTCAATTTAATCGCTTCTGCTCATTCTTACCAGCGCTAAGTGTGCTAATCCACACTGTGTGCTAAGTGTGTGCTAATCCACTTCGCTAAACGCATCTCTCGAGCCCAGCGTCGCCCAGGGCGCGCCGGGTAGCCGCGCGCGTGCCCACCACCGGATGGAGCCAGCCGAATAATGAGCCGGAGTTGTCATGGTTACGCGTCAGGCCCCGCCCCCATTGACGCCCGGCGTGCGCAGAGGAGCGCGCTCCGATCAACGATGGCGGCCGCCAGTCAATAGCGGCGGCGCGGGCGGCCCAGCGCTGGGGAGCGGCGCGGGCGGCCCAGCGGCGCGCCAGTCGTGCAGCCCGCAGTGGCCGGTGCCATGAGCTGCGCCCAGCTGATGTACCAGCCCTACTCGGCCAGTCCGTACGTGCCCCAGGACTCGGCGTTCGGCAGGGTCGGCTCGCCGACCGACTCCGCTGCCTCGGCCGCCGCCGCCGCCGCCGCCGCCGCCGCCGCCACCGGCAAAGAACAGGTGAGACCGCATTGCTGACGTGCGAGTGCGCAGGAACGGAGTGGGGGTTGGACGGGTGGAGGGGGTGCTTGAAGATGTGGACATGTATTTTTGCTTTCCTGGTTGCGCATGGAAGACCCGTGTAACAATTATGGGTCCTCAACTGCTGTCTGGTTATCCCAAGTGTGAAGGTGCGATGCATGGGGGAGGGGGTGGGGGAGTGGGGAGACCATGGCACCGCTCTTGTAATCGCTCTTTTCGAATGGGGACACCATGATGTTCCTCGGATTCTGGACCTTTCCCTCTCATCCGCACTGGGCTTCGCGTGCAAATCTCCCACACGTTATTCGAACCACACACTTGGCATGTTGTGACACTGCAACCGTTGGCTTCAAACACGGTCCCATATTCGGCACTGCGAGACCGTAAGCGTCTCTGGTCGGGCATGGGGCCAGTGCCGGCCTGCACGTGCTGGTACTGTCCGGGTGCTGGAGGGCGGCTCGGTGCGGTAGCGCTGCCAGCGGCGGGCTGTGCTGCCGTCCGTTACCTGAGCGCCGCTCCAGGCCACGGCCAGGAGTCCGAACCTCAAAGGAAACCGGCCCGTTTCTGATAACGACCTCGCCTCGAGCCGGCCGTTTCCGAAAAGTAAAACCTGTTCTCTGCCCGTGGAAGATAGCATTAAATGGACTTCAAGCAAATGACCGTGCCCAACACTCGGTCCCATTACTGAGTTCGTTACTGGGCTGGAAATGTGGCCACTACAAGGCACAAGACGTATCACGGAGGCCAAAAATAGCCCTAGGGGAATTGTAACTGAGGAGACCTTTCCATTACTTAAAAAATATTGGCATATGATTCCAACCACGCCAGCAGCTACATTATTTGCGCCCGGATTCGTAGCCATATCTGATTTTGCCAGCCGGTCGCCCCTTGTGGTGCGGTAGTTCTACGAAACCCTGGTCGACACGTTGAGAGGCTTGTGCACTCGAGTGACTCAACTTATGGCCATAGTTCAGACCGTAATGGAACAGCGGCTGCAAAACAAAACAACGGCTGCAAAAGTGGCGACATGTTTTTTCCGTATTTCATGGAGCTGAAAGGGAACCTTTCGAAACATAACTCTTCTGCGTTCCAGCAGAATTGAGTTGGATTTTTGGCGCGTCACCATCCAACAAAGATTTTAAATATGCCGTCTGTTAGTCAGTTTCCAAATACATGGACGGAGTTTATCGCTATTCGTCTCACCTACACTTGAACACATAAGCCACGCATTTTTTTCATTGGCAACTGCAAACGCCTTCTTTGCGTTAGCCTAGATTAGGCTAAATGCAAAGGCTTTACGGATGGCTCTGCCCGTACTTCGTATCGACCTTGCTTTCGGAGTTCAATACAGCAGCGAAGTCATTGTCTGCAACTAAGATAATTATTTTGCAATGCATGCATCGCCAAAATTTAAAAATCAACGAACAAAAATATCTTACGTTTGTAAGGCAACTGTTCATAACCAGTTCTTGATAGCTTTGTTCTTCTCTTGGAGACGAAACCAGTTGCAAACGATCTTAAGACAGCTTCTGTCTGAACAATTTCAAGACCGAACATTAGCTGAAAAGCAAAATGATTACAGAATGTCAATGGTCCAAGGAACTTTGTGATATTTACGATGGGGTTTTCTTTGTTAAGTGTTTTTTTCCGAAAACTTTCGTGGAAGTAAAGCTGAACAGCGTCCAGCTTCAGTTGTTGGAAAAAGTCCGCCACGTCAGTTAATATCACTGTCAGAAATTCTGCAATAGAGGCATTCTCTCCAAAAATGCTATTGGGCTACCCAAAATAGCGAATTCGTTTCTTGTTTTTGTTTTTGTTTTTGCTCTCAACTAAGTCAGATGAGTGTATCTGGGTAAATGTAGACACAGTCTCGAGCCCCGATTCGCGTCTTCTTAGCTCCTTCTGCCATGCAAGGGATCCACAAGAAGGCCTGGAAGTTTGCAGCGAGAAAAAGTGCTTTTTTATTGTGCGCTCACCTATTTCGTTTTGCGGGGACTTCATTTGGCCTAATTTTGGAGATCTGAATGCACGGAATACGCCCCAAGATACGCTTGCAACTCTCCTGGGTGCAGACAAAGTTGCTGACCGGCCGGCTTCAGTCATTTTCAAAATTATTGTAACGATTAGAAAGCATCAGACCTTTTGTCAGATGGCACGGAACCATGCAATCTGATGTTGCAGTGACAGAATTCGACGTCCCAGCTACTTTACTTGACGTCACAGCTCCAACAACAGAAGACGAGATTCAGCTGCACCCTCTTGCTGTGGTTCATCTTTGCAAGCCGAGAGTCTTCGGTGTTTCCTGACTTTGGTCCCAGCAGCAGAAACCAGCGGTTGGCAACTTTCTCCCATTGCTCTCCACTCAGCGGAGGCTGCGGTTCAGGCGCAAAATGGCCTCGACGCCGACGCAGCCTTAAACTCCAGACCACCACTGGAAGCCAGGGATTGCGCGCAAAGTAGCTTCGACACCGACGCACCCTTAATGCCCAAACTTCCACCGGAAGCCGAGGGTTGTCTGAGGATCGGCTGGGCTAAGGACCAAGCAGCAGAAATAGAGCGCATGCCGCACTCCCTTGGTATGGCCCTAGCAGAGATGTAGGGTCTGCTGTGTCTCCTGACTGGGGCTTCAGCAGCAGGATCGGATAGCCTGCTTCGTATCTGACTCCAGCGGTGATCCCAGCAGCGGAAGCGGCTACCCAGGTACCCTCTTAGCTGGGTCCCAGCCACAGTAGCCACCGGTCAGCGTTGTCCTTTCGGCTACCATCTCAGCAGCACAGTTCGTCAGCCAGCTACATTCTCTGGCCATGGTCCCAGTCGGGTATCTTTTACCGCGCAGGCGGATCACTGCGTTTCCGTCAGCTGCCGCCGTGCTACGGCCCTCTTCATCTCACGCCGCTGATGGAGTCTCGGTGCGTCACGAGCGAGTCACCCCTGCCCACCTGTCCTCCGCGCTGCAGGCGTCCGGCCGAGAACAATGCGCCGTCGCCGCGCGCCCCGCTCCAGCCGGCAGGTCGGCGCGGCGGCGGGTGGCGCTGCGCGGGAAAGGGCGGAATGTTATCGGCCACCAATCGGCCGGGATGAAACACGGAAACGGCCCGAGGAATTCTTACGCAAAGTGATGACAAATTAGCCGGTCGGGTGGCGGCGGGTCGCGCCGAGATGCTGCGCCGCTGATACCGTCGCGCTGTGCCCCGTTGTTTGCGCCTGTCACATTCCGGCCGTTCACGGCCGCGCCGATAGCGGTCTCAGATCTGCACACGGACACACGGACACAGACAGGCGGACACACGGGCACACAGACAGACGGACGGGCGGACACACAGACGGACGTACGCACCAACACACACGGACACATGGGCACACGGGCAGACGTACATACGGATACACACGGACACACAGACAGACGGACACACAGACACACGGACTCACAAACAGACGCACACGCGGACACACACGGACACACACACACAGACACACACAGACACACGGACAGGACACACGGACGCACTGGCGGTGGGCGCGGTCGACACGTCGCGTGTGGCGCTGCTGCGCTGTGCGGCGGTCGCCGCCGGGCAGGTCTGATCGCGTTGTCGTCGGCCCGCACTGAGTACACCGGGCCGGTGATGCCGCGGGATGTGCTGCAGACGGACCTCTGCACGTCATACGTGAGTGCGGATTTGGTGCCAGCGACGACGGCAGGAGCAGTGTCCGGGCATTCCTCCCAGTCCTCGTCCATTTCCGACAACTTTTACTTTAAACTTTGGCGTTACGGCGTTGCTTGTTGAGAATTTAACTGGACTGCGCGCTTGCCGTCATTCGTGGTATCTCACAGCCTGGCCTGCGCCGGCCGGGACGGCGCCGGCTGACTCAGCAAGAGTGTGGCGCAGCCGGCCCTCTTGATGCAGCGGGCTGGTGACACTCCGTTCTAACCTCCATTATCACCATCGCACAGCAAGTCGGCTTTCGTGTTGCCCTGTCCTTAACATACCCCGCTTCACGCCAATGCTGTTGGCATAACGAGCAGGGGGCTCGGGTTAACAGCGTCCGCTCAAGACATACCGCCCCGTCTTCCATTTCGTCACACCGCGCAAGGACAAGGCCTATCTTATCTCAGGCGAACAGATACGAATTCGTCGTGTTTTGACCGGACGCGGCCGGCGGTCCGTGTGTGGCTGACAGGATACTGTGACGTTGGAGGACATCCGCAGCGCTCGAGACATCGGCCCCGGAGTGTGGGGGAGGGGCCACGGACCCTGGCGGTCCCGCGGGCAGGGGACACGTCACGCCGGATCTGGTGTCGACGACGAGGAGGGACCACCCAAGGCCGTGCGTTTGTAGTGGCCGGACTGGAAGGCAGGCGCGGCCCCCTGTTTATCACGTGAGACGCAGTTGTTGGCGTGGTGAGATATGATGGTAGCTGAGTGACCTCGAACGCGAGAGAACGGAATCCGTTCTTTCAAAGGACTCTGTCCACGTATCGCCATGTAATCCAACCTAAGCGGTCACTTAAAATGGGTGGACAGGGGACGATCCACCTCCACATTTCTACGCCCATCGATGGGTCGAAGAAAATATATATTGTTAGAGCTTGCGGGGAAACATCTGCCCTCCGCTCAAAAGACCTCGCGCTTTTGAGCTAGGAGAACCTCACCCTCAACGTGGAGGGCAACATGTACTTATGAGCCCTTTCACATCAGCATTATTAAACAGGGATATCTAGTGTCAGATTTAAAATGCACAACAGCTAGGACGGAGATGAGCAAAGTCCATCCTTTCTCGTCAGATCAGGGAGTCACTGCACACATTGATGTGTGGCTTGCTAGTGATGGCGAGGCGTTATTGCGTCAAGCCACTCGGAAGTCGCAGCGCTTGCTAGGTTCGCTGCCGCCACTGGTTTACTAAGAATTTCTAGAGGCTAAGCGATTTTGCTCAGTAATGACTCTAAGCTGAAATGCCCAGCAGCAGACACCAGCGGTTGGCGACTTTGCTCTCCACTCAGCGGAGGCCGAGGATTGGGCGCAAAATGGCCTCGACACCGACGCAACCTCAAGCCCCAAACCTCCACTGGAGTCAGAGGATTGAGTGCAAAATGGCCTCAAAGCCGACGCACCTTCAAGCCCCAAACCACCACTGGAAGCAAATGATTGGGCGTAAAATGGCCTCGACGCTGACGCACCCTCAAGCCCCAAACCTCCACTGGAAGCAAAGGATTGGGCGTAAAATGGCCTCGACGCCGACGCAACCTCAAGCCCCAAACCCCCACTGGAAGCAGAGGATTAGGTGCAAAATGGCCTCGACGCCGACGCACCCCTCCCCCACCCCCCCCCCCCCCGGAAGCCAAGAACTGGGCGCAAAATAGCCTCGACGGCGACGCACCCTTAATGCCCAAAGCTCCAACGGAAGCCGCGGGTCGACTGAGGGGCGGCCGAGGCTAAGCACCACGCAGCAGAAATTGAGCGCTTGCTGCACTCCCTGGTGCTTCAGCAGCAGGATCGCATAGCCAGCTGCGTCTCTGACTCCAGCGGCGGTCCCAGCAGCGGAAGAGGATAACCAGACACTCTCTTAGCTGGGCACCAGCCACAGAAGCCATCGGTAAGGGTGAAAGGCTGGCCAGTGGTTTCGTTCCTTTTCTCTGCAGTCGCATTTACTATATTTATATATATATATATATATATATATATATATATATATGCATAAGTTTGCTTGCTACTAGACTGCAGACCATTGCAGAGCTTGAGGATATGACTTTGGCTCTCGCGCGCTCAACAATGGATGCTGTTCCCGATCAAGGTAGTGATGGTCGGTTATATTTCTTATTCCTAAGGCTAAACGAGGGGAGTATCGGTTAGAATAATGTTACATAACCAGAAAATCAGATGCACCACTCCTATCGGCTTCACCCACCGGCCCACCGGCTGCGGGACTATGCTGCTGTTACCCGTGCTGCGGCACGGGTAAATGACGGCTTATTGTACCCTAATACGTGATCGAGGCGAACGTACGTGTTTTTTATTTGCCAGGCTATGTACGTTTTTGAGATGCGCCAGTAAAGATGATTCAAGCAACAAGGGATTACATGCAAGCCACTCGCTGACAGCCAAAACAAATGTTTGCTGCTTAGAATGCTTGGCGCAACTGAAATGTATAAAAACTCCGCAGTCAGCACCAGCACCGTACGATTTTGCTACCCATGTGATTACGAGTGGCATATAAACGGAGACGCAAGACTGAGTTGAGGGTTGGATATGCCCACATGGGCATGTAGCACATAGGCGAGACATACAAGGTAAAGAATGACAACGTTTTATGAAATGAAAATTATGCATTTTCTTAACCAGCAAGGTACTTCAAGTAATTAAGATATTTGCCTGTCTCACCGCGAGTCAAAGATTGTTTCAACCTCGTTACTTTTCCGGGTTTTTTTTTTGTCATTTGTTACTTCACAATTGTTTTGCTTTGTCATGTAACGGCGGAGTGGCCTCGATGAGCAATGGTCTTATCATTGAGACCACTACGTGAATGTGAAGTGGTGATTGGACTTATTTGTTGCGCGACCTGGTATCTGCACAAATACCGTCCACTGAGTAAAGCCAAGGTTGTGATGACTTTATAAAACGATGAAGGAGACACATATAACCCGCTGGGATTTTCTTTGAAATTCTCCGAGTGTCTTCGCCCAACAACATTTCAATGAAATCAGCCTCCCGAGTCCTTCAGGAATGTGTTCCTAAGATTTAACTCAGACGCGAACCGAGGATTTAAACCCCCAAATCCCAGGCATACTCCCCGCCACCATTCTATGCCACAATTCTATTTGACATGTCTGATCACAAACGGTGCGCCTGTGGGTGCGCTTCAGCTGACTGCCGTACCATCACTACAGCTGACCTCGCTGCCCCGCGGCGTCCGTTACAGAAGTACAAAGTGTGCGCCAGTCCGGGCGGCGAGGCGCCGCTGACGCCCCCGGGCGGCGCCGAGGAGGACCAGCGCGCGCAGCACAACGTCAAGTTCCTCGCCTCCAACTGCGTGCTGGTCACGAACTACTGCGGCGACGTGGCCAGCGTGGTGGACGAGCACTTCGCGCGCGCGCTCAGTCAGAACCCGGGCTTCGACGTCAAGCTGGGCTCAGTCACATCCAAAGGTGAGCGGACCGACAGGCGGTGGGCGGGCTCGACCCGGCCCTGGAAACAGCTGACGCTGACGGCAGCTGTGTCCGCCTTTTCACCTCTGCCTCGCCTTATCCTGCATTCTTGCGGCGTTCCGTTTGTCCGGGGCAGGCTGCATGCGCCAGCCATCAGTGGGCTAACGTGCTCCCTGGGGCGCCCGTCCGAGCGCCGAGCCCAGCCTCGCAGAAGGGCTATCTGGGCGGACAAATCCTTGACGCACGCATCCCCAGGTGCGTGTAATCTTGCCCCACCGTTGTCCATTCTCCCTCATCCTTTCATGACTAGCCGAGTGGGCGCTGATCCGAGCAACAGCCAAACGGCAGCTGAGCGAGCGGTAGTGTTTGTAGCGTTGGACTGGTACATATGTGCCGCCCTGGATTTTAATTTACGAATCTCGGCAGTGAATGCCCGTACTTTTTGCCACTTATTTCACTGCCAAATAAGACCAAGATTCCATTTATGTGTCCGTGTAACTTCACATCAGTTATAACATGAACGTTTCAAGAATGTGTCTTATGATAGCTATCAATATCCACATGTCTGCACAATGGTATACTCTGTACAAACCGGGATGGAATCACACATATACGCTTACTCCCACCATTGTCGTTCGCAGGGGCGCTGCTTAGGTGGGGGGGGGGGGGGGGAAGGCGAGGGGGGCATTAGGCCCGAATTTACTTTCGCTCCACACTTAAGATGGTTCCCGACAGAAGGCTTAAATTCGACGTGATGCGTACTCACCAAGCGTCCCTTTGCGGAAATCCTGGTTTTGTTCCTTATCGTTCTTCAGATCAATCGCTCATCAAGGTCGAAGTCACAAAAGACATAGCAAGAGCGCCCCACAGTGCTAGTCTGAAAGTCATTTTCAACTCAGAATGCGAGATGAAATTGAATACATGACTAACGCCGGCCGGTTGGGTACATCATTTCAGCATATGCAACTGAAATAAGGTAATCAGGTCTTCTTCATCGTCTGTCGACCACGTAAAAACAAAATGAGACACGAAAGAAGTTCGATAAAGTTTTGCCAATGCCGCTTTGCGCGTCACAGGTGAAAGAGCGACGGAATGTGTACGTCTTCAGTTATATGTGGAACGGAAAGCCGCGTGGTTTCAGCTGCGCCAGGATTGTATACAGAAGGTGGTATAACAATTGCACTTCGTGATATCCGCTGCGCCAGGATTGCATTCAGCGAATGGTATGACACCCTTCTACCGTGTGGTTTCTACTGCGCCAGGATTGTATACAGCAGGCGGTATAACACTTCCACTTCGTGATATCCACTGCGTCAGGAATGCATTCAGCGAATGGTATGACACCCTTCTACTGTGTGGTTTCTACTGCGCCAGGATTGTATACAGCGATCGGTATAACACCGTTCTGCCGCGTGGTATCCACTTCCGCCCCTGGTTTCACCTTTCGCGATATGGTGCTACGGTTTGGTACTCCAGCCATTGCTTTGAGATGGCCTTGTAACATCACCAGTAATAGTCATGAATACAGGTGACCCATTTGCACCGAGGCGGAACAAATCTGGTCAAACTGCTGATTAGGGGTGGCAGTGGCGCATTGGTTAAGCTGCATGTCTGAGAAACCATAAGCACGGGGCTTGATTCCCCGCGGTACCTGCCCTTCGGGAGGTAGGCGACGCCATGTAGCCTCAACTGCTGAGTGCCGTAAAACCCCAATGAGGCTAAGCTACCACTTAGCCGGAACTCACTTAGCCATAGCTCACCTTCAATTACTGTAAACCCGTTTACGGAATGTGAGGTTATTTTCAAGCCGCTGCAGAGCGTCATTACAATTCGTTGAGGTTGGGGGGAGGGGGGAGGGGTAGCGCCGATCACTGTAAAACACAGGTTTTTCTGTTTGCAATGTGTCAAAAGCTTTTCCGGTGATCTCGGCTGCAGACAGGAGGATGCGACTCGGACGCGGGAATGACGTTCACAGATATTATGCATGGCTCCAGGCGTGCTTCAGCCATTAGCATCGCGCTTACGCCCGAGTGTTTCATCTAGATCGTTTTCGCTGAGTTGCGGCTGCATTGCGCCTACCACAAAACTGCTTTGTCGCGAGACAACAGCGTCTTGTGTCTTTGTGCACGTCTTGTAAACCTCCCGCGTCCTTTAAATTTTCCGTCGAGTGAAATGCTCACACCATCTCCCTCACGACCGCTCATACTGATGAATCTTTCCCTCGTCGCCGTGCGCCTGTTTTTTTACTTACGTTGGCTGCTGTTCACTCGTTGTTATGATTTAGAAGGCGAGTTTTCATCCATAATTGCTACGAGGCTCTTATTGTGGAGCCGGGCACCGTCAGGCTCTTTAATTAGCTGAGTGATTGCCCGGCACATCTGCCGGCGTCGGCGCCGTCGCCCGGGCAGCGTCGGCGCCGACGCTGTAGCCGTGCGGTCTCGCCGCCATTGTCCACACTCCGCCGGCGTCCAGCTGGCTCACACATGGGGAGAGTCACCGCTTCGTCTGCGGCCGGGTCGTGGCGGGCGCCGACTGACCGCCGCCCGGCTTATGAGAGTTTTGTGGGATGCGGTCCGCGCCCGACGTCTTTGGGATCGATGCGGCTCCCTCTCCCTCCCCGCCTGACGTCTGTGAGTTTGGGGAGCTCGATATTGACCTGTCGTCAGCGCGGGCTCGGTACCGATCTGCCGCCAGTGTGGGCTCGGCACCGACCTGTCGCCTGTGGGAATCAGTACTGACCTGTCATCAGCGCAGGCTCGGTACCGACCCGTCGCCAGTGTGGGCTCGCCACCGACCTGTCGCCTGTGGGAATCGGTACTGACCGGTCGTCAGTGTGGGCTCGGTGCCAACCTGTCGTCAGCGTGGGTTCGGTACCGACCTGTCGTTAGCGTGGGCTCGGTACTGACCTGTTGTCAACACGGGCTCAGTACTGACCTGTTGTCTGCGGGCCTCGGCACCAACCAGTCCTAAGCACGGACTCGGTACCGACCTGTCGTCAGCTGGGGCTCGGCACCGACCTGTCGTCAGTGTGGGCTCGGTGCCCACCTGTCGTCAGCGCGGGCTCGGTACCAGCCTGCCGTCTGTGGGCCTCGGTGCCAACCTGACGTCAGCGTGGGTTCGGCGCCGACCTGTCGTCAGCGCGGGCTCGGCACCGACCTGTCGTCAGTGTGGACTCGGCACCGACCTGTCGTCAGCTGGGGCTCGGCACCGACCTGTCGTCAGTGTGGACTCGGTACCGACCTGTCGTCAGCTGGGGCTCGGTACCGACCTGTCGTCAGCGCGGGCTCGGCACCGACCTGTCGTCAGTGTGGACTCGGTACCGACCTGTCGTCAGCTGGGGCTCGGCACCGACCTGTCGTCAGTGTGGACTCGGTACCGACCTGTCGTCAGCGCAGGCTCGGTACCAGCCTGCCGTCTGTGGGCCTCGGTGCCAACCTGTCGTCAGCGCGGGCTCGGTACCGACAAGTTGTCAGCGCTACTTCGAGAGGGTATGCCCCGCCGGCGGACTCGGCTCCTGCTCGGGCCATCAACCCTCACTGAAGCGCTGCCTCTGCCGGGTTATCGTCGGGACGTGCCACGCAGCGAGCCTGGGACGGCGGCACGCCTGTTTTGCGCGCGCCGCGCGCTATCCAAATTGGCGCGCTCTGTTTTGACGGGCCTCAGCCAATGTTTTCCGGCGCGCAGCTTACTCGCGCCGACGGGAGCGCGCTTTTTGTCGCGCACCCGTTTGTCACCAGGTAAGGTGTGAACGCGGAGCTATATTTAGCAGCTGGGTCTCCTCATGCGCTGCGGTTCTGTCCATGGGCCGCGGGTGACTCTTAAAGCCGTTTTTGCCGCGAGATTCGGCCAGTCTGGTAGGTTGGAATACGTGGTTTCCAATTGTCCGTTGTGACTGATAATCGTCATGCTCCATAACGCGTGCGTTGGGCCGGATTGCTGGCATGTAAGGTGCGCTGGTGGGTTGCTGGCCTTGCACCCCATAACAAAGCAAAGTGGAAGAAGAAAACTCGCAGTACGGTGCGTTTGCTATGGGCTAATCCACACGCCTTGCTGGTGTATTCGAAATATTGCAAACGTGGCGGGTAGAAGATGCATGGCTGCGTACGATGCATATATGACGTACGATGTCACACCCGAGACCCGTTTAGACGACCCCATCCGTCTAGGGGGGAGCTGTACATCTACGGGACAGCTGTGCATGTGGGCAAGAGTGAAGCCACGTCTCAGAGACCCAAGACCCGTCTAGGGGAGAGCTGTACATGTGTACAAGAGTGAAGCCGCGTCTCTGAGACCCGAGACCCGTCCACGGGACAGCTGTGCATGTGGGCAAGAGTGAAGCCACGTCTCCGAGACCCGAGACCCGTCTAGGGGAGAGCTGTACACGTGTGCAAGAGTGTAGCCGCCTCTCTGAGACAGGGGACAGATCAGGGCTGGGAACGTCAAACTGGAATGTGTGTGCGTGGCGGGGGGGGGGGGGGGAGGGGCAAACTGCCCTGAAAATGACACCTTTGAAGGGGAAAAATGTTAAAACGTACATTGGAGGGGCAAATTCTGTGGGCAAACTCCGATTTCGCGGGAATCGGAGGGACATACCCCATGTCTTGCCCCCTTATCGTCTTAGCCCTGCGCGTGTGAGTCGTTACGTGAGGATACGGTGGCGTGATAGGCACCGTTATATTCCGAACATCCTGTCTAACTCAGCTCCATGAGATATGCAGCGGCTGGATCTGGGAAGCGAAGCGCCCAGCGTAGGCAGGGCGGGCATCTAGGCCAACGCTGTGGGAACGTCCAGAAAGAATGGCGCCGTCAGATGCGGCATGCCATTCAAGCGGCGATTGATGTAATGTGAACGAAGTAGTTCAGCAGAGCAAGGCTGGATAGGCTGGAGCGGCTAAGACGCGATGACAGACAATGGAGAGTGCGACCACACACGTTTGGTTGACTGCGTAAGTAAAATCTGCACAATCGTAAGCGTCATAAAAAATGCAATAAAGCGACCT